GTAAGGAAGGAACGCGGCGCAAGACGACCTGTGCTGGTTCATTGAGTCCTTCCCAGATGAATGAGGTGCGCAGAATATCGTGCCTTTCTATTACCTGTTGTAAGGTGGAAGTGTAATTTTCAATCGCCATCTTATCCACAAATCTCAAACGGGCAACAGACAAGTATGGATCACCTCGCTCAGCCATCATATGATGGAATAAAATGCCTTGTTGTAATGGTGCCAACCCGTAAATATCTTGAATATTGGTTATGCCACCGGGCACATGTGTAACCAATGCATCAATCTCTGTCTGAGATAGATTAATGAGAGGTAACATGTCAGGAATAATCATCGTGCAATCTTTGGTAATTACATTGGTTGGTATGCTAATTTTTTGATAATGGTTGAGAGTCTTAGCTAGTGCAGCCAAAGAGGTTGCATTAAATACTTCTCGAACGTTGGTGTCCAGTCCAACTTGCCTTAATCGGGTCAGCATTCGTACAATCAGAAGAGAGTGACCACCAAGCGCAAAAAAATTGTCATGCCGACTGATACGTTCTATACCCAATAATTCACTCCAAAGTGCGGCTAGTTTCACTTCTGTTTCGCCTCTCGGTTCTTCATATAGTTGACGAGCAAAAGCCTCATCGTCTGGAGCGGGTAATGCACGTCGATCTAACTTTCCATTGTGTGTTATTGGCAACGACGATAAACAAATATATGCTGCTGGCACCATATAATCAGGCAAAAGAGATGCTAGATAAGTTCGTAGATTTTGAGCGAGTGATGTATCGAGGTCAGCCACTACATAGGCGACTAGTCGAGCATCTGCATCTGTCTTGTTTTTCCACGACAATACTACTGCCTCTCTTACTAGAGGATGGTCGACTAAACAGGCTTCAATTTCACCTGGCTCAATTCGGAAACCACGAATTTTTATTTGTTGGTCGGTACGTCCCATATAAACGAGATTGCCATCAGGCAAATAGCATGCCAGGTCACCGGTCCGGTACATGCGTGTCCTGGGATTATCACTAAATGGATCAGAAATAAAACGTTCTGCAGTACGTTCCGGTCGGTTCAAGTAGCCTCGTGCCACACCAGCTCCACCAATATACAATTCTCCTTCAGTTCCCAGCGGAACCGGTTCACCTGATGCATCTAGAAGGTATATCTGTGTATTGGCAATGGGGCGTCCTATCGTTTCTATTACAACATCGCCTGGTTTATATGTATAACAAGTTACGTTATTTGTTTCCGTAGGTCCGTAGAGATTATATAGTTTAGTAATTTGAGTTTGAGTAAAAATGCGGTTGATTAAGCGTTCGTTTAGTGACTCGCCTACCATTTGGAGGGTATGAACTGAAGAAGGTAAAGTTCCCACATTTAGTATTTCAGTGAGGGCAGAAGGCACTGTGTTGAACAAGGAGATATTGGACTGAAATTGTGTAATAGAGAGTGCATCCTTCACGATATGTACAATTTTTCCCACAGACAATGGCGCAAAACATTCGAAAACAGACAAATCAAATCCAATAGAAGTTGAAAATAAGGTATGCTCCAAATCTTCCGTTGTAAACTCCTCCTTACACCAGTTAAGGTAATTTGTGATATTCATGTGTTCGATCATCACCCCTTTCGGCGTTCCAGTTGATCCAGAGGTGTAAAGTACAAAGGACAAGTGCGTCGGCGTTAGGTTCAGCTTTATCGGATCAGGATTTTCATCATCTGGCAATGAGTCTCGCAACGCTTCATCTAAATTGACCACAGGCACCTCATGATCTTTAAGTGCTTTCTGACCAATAGAATCCACCAACAAACACAATGGATTTGCGTCTTGTAAAATATTTCTGAGGCGTTGACTCGAGTAAACTGGATCAAGTGGAACGTAGGCGCCACCAGCTTTTAGAATTCCCAATATAGCTACGACCAATTTAGAGCTGCGTTTAACACAAAGTGCGATGCGATCATCAGGTTTGACACCTAGCTCAATCAGATAATGTGCCAATCTATTTGCTTGAACATTGAGTTCAGCATAACTCAAAGTTTCTCTATCACATTCAATAGCGATTGCATTTCTGTCCCGCTCTACTTGTTCTTCAAATAACTCGTGAAGGCAACGAAGAGTCGAATAATTAACTGTCGTCTGGTTCCATGTATGCAACAGCATCTCTCGTTCTTCTGGTGGCATCACAGTCAATGTTCGTACAGGTCGCTGTGGTGTGTGAGTTAAGGCATCGACAAGTGAGAAGAGGGCTTGTTGCATATAAACACAAATCCGTGCTGCTGATATTGGTGACATCACTTGAGCTGTTAGAACTAGCGCCTCACTGTCGTCATCAATTGATAAGGTTATTGGATAATTTGTTCGCTCCTCAGCGCTCAGAAGAGTGACTCCATCAATTAACGTAGTGACCTCCATGTTTAGCTGATTATGACGATAATTCAATAACGCATTGAAAAGCGGCAAAGTTGCTGGCACTCCGCTACAACGTTGTGCCAACGCAAGCGATGCATGCTCATGTTCTAGCAATGCACTTAAACGTGAGTGAGTATGACGCACGGCGTTCTCAACCGTTCTCTCGTCCATATCCAGCCTAATTGGTAGCGTGTTTATCAATAACCCCATTGTACTATCGTTCTCTCCGGAATTTAAACGACCGAATAGTACGGTGCCGAAGACAACTGTCTTGTGTCCACTGGCTTTAGCAAGTACTTGTGCCCACGCCAAATGGCAAAGGCTGGTCAAGCCAACATGTAAATGGCGTGCAAGGGTTCGCAACTGATTACTAATCTCCTTTGGTAACTTCAGATGTATTTCATCGATTGAGATTCCATCGCTATGAACGTCCCTCAGACCAAACGGAAGGGTTGGTGTATCAACGTCCGCAAGTATTTCTTCGAAAAATTTAGTATGTTCAGCTTGGCTAACTCCTAGGCGAGCTTGAGCCACTAATTGCCGGAATGGCGTGGGAGTTGTCAAATTCTCATTTTGTCCATCGATGATGGCGTGCACTTCTACATTCAGTCTTTTTAGTGTTGTGTGGTCATCAATTAAATGGTGCATGAGAATCACTGCCACCCATTTTTCTTCAGCCGTTCGAGCAGCAAACACACGTAGCAAAGGCGCTTGGGTCAGATCTAGTTTGTAGTGACGTGGATTAAAGCGGTTATTTAATTGTTCTAGGGCCGAATCATCGGTTTCATCCAGTGTGACTTCGGTGAGTATCGAAGGAACTCGACGCAATACGATTTGTGCAGGTTCACTGAGTCCCTCCCAAATGAAGGCGGTCCGATAAATATCGTGTCGTTCAATTGCCTGTTGCAAAGCGGCTACAAAACGTTCAAGTTTCTCTCGATCACTAAAATGTAGACGACTAACTAGCAAGTACGAATCGCCATGCTCAGCCATCATATGATGAAACAAGATTCCTTCTTGTAATGGTGCTAATCCATAAATATCTTGAATATTGGCTATACCACCCGGTACTTGAGCTACTAGAGAATCAATCTCTGATTGAGATAGGCTGATAAGTGGTAACATGTCCGGTGTAATCTTCATACAATTTTCGGTAATCAGATTGGGTGGAATACTGATTTTCTGGTATTTGCCAATAATCTTAGCTAGTGCGGCTAATGAGAGACTATCAAAAACTTCTCGAACGTTGGTATCCAGTCCGATTTGTCGCAACTGTGATAGCATCTTAACAATTAGGAAAGAATGCCCGCCTAACGCAAAGAAATTATCATGCCGGCTGATTCTATCAATACCCAACAGTTCACTCCAGATTGTGGCCAGTTTTTCTTCCATTTCGCCCCGCGGTTCTTCATATAGTTGACGAGCAAATGCATCATCATCCGGTGCTGGAAGTGCACTTCGGTCCAATTTGCCATTTGGTGTGAGTGGTATTGATGACATACACA